CCATAACTATCAGTCTGTATAAAATGTGATCGCATAGCAACAAGTTACAAAGGAGTACTTAAAAACCATGCATTTGGACCCATGAGACTACTGATCTGTGTTCTCTGGAGAGAAAAAATATGCTGGGAGGTTTATTTCCATAGATTTAATTTTTTTAGTGATTGGTAATTTCTCCCTTCCTAGATACAGAGAACATTCTCAGCGGGAGGTAAGATTCTGGCATTAGATAGAGTGGAAAGAGTATTCCTCTGGGAGACTTGGGACCCTGGGTTTGGGTGGGTGCTCAGCATCTGCCCAGCTGTGTGAATTGCGGGAGTTGTATATATACTCCTCTGAGGTTGACTTCCTCTTTCATCAGTTAACAAGGGAGCTTCCTAGCCCTCAAATTTGGTATTTCAGTGTGATGGTAAGCCTAGGTAGAAAGCATATGTGGTACACACTAGTGCTGGTCACTAAATATATCCTAATATCCTTGTGGATACGTGTTAGGGTTGCATCTTCCCTCTGGACCAAGCTAACAAAGTAAGAGTAGAAGTGTTGTGAGTCCCTTTGAAGTGGGAATTTGAAGAACCAGTGTGCCGTTTGCTGCATTCTTTCCCCAGCCTTGGTGACTGTGGAAGCCTCCCTCAGTCTGAGTCTCGAAGGATTGTGGGGAGCAGAGTCTCTTACTCGGGCATGTAATTTAATGAGTGCATCTTTGTTATTAAGTGAGTGAGGTTTTAAGAGTTATTTGTTATTCCTTCACAGCCTAACCTGTCCAAATTGAAACAGTATAATTGAAGATTATTTTTCCTTCTCTGTTGATATTGTGACAACTAGCCCTGGTGGCACAATGGCTAAGTACTCAACTGTTACTGAAAGGTCAGCAGTTCAAACTCACTGGCCACCACTTGGGAGAAAGAGGTGGCAGACTGCTTTCAGTAATGAATTGCAGTCTTGGAGGTCCTATGGGGCAGTTCTTCTCTGTCCTATGAGCTTCACTGTAAATTGGAATCAAATCCATGTCAACAGGGTTTTTTGTTTGTTTAAACTGGTTTATTGTGAATTATGTGATAGTTTACATGGGAGAACATTAGCTTTACATTCATCCTATCATCTATCATTGCACTGCCATGGTTACAATCCCCTCCATGTATTATCAACCGACCAAAACGTATACCCTGGAAGCCTGCTCCCCACCCCCCACACCTCCCCCCAGCCATCAGCACACAATCCCTCTCCCTCTCTGGGTCTAGAGTCCCCAGCCACTCTATCTTTCCATGTCATCATCTCTGCCTCCATCTATCTGGTGTCCACTCACTGATGTCAGCAGTTTTGTTGTTGTTGAGACTATACACAGCAATACATACTCCAACTCAACTGTTTCTACACATACATTTCAATGACACCGATGACATTCTTCAAGTTATGCAACCATTCTCACCCTCCTTTTCCTTCTCCATTAACATCGACTGCTCCCTTGGTTTTCTAGCTCATCTTTCAAATTGCCGCTGTTCCTTTGATCTCATATGTTGTTGTTACTATTGTTTTGTGCCATTAAGTTGGTTCGGACTCATAGTGACCTTGTATAGGGTTTCCAAGCAGCAGTTGGTGAAGTTGAACCTACTGACCTTGTGGTTCAATCGGACCTTATTGTCAAGTGCTTATCCTATGGAGCTACAACAGGGAATCCTTGATCCCATAAGGATGGCTGTTTAAAGAGCACGAGGCTCAAAGCATTCTTTTTTTTTTAAACTAGTGAAGTTAAATTACTGTTTGGTTTTATGAAGACTTCTTTGGTTTAAGGTTTAAAGATAATTTCAGGGCAGTAGTTCCAGGGATTCATCCAGACTCCTTTTAGCTCCAGAAAATCAGGAGTCCATGAAAATTTGAAATTCTCGTCTGCATTCTGCCCCATTAGGTTTTTGGTTTTCTTGAAATTGTTAATTTAGAATATACCTAAATGTGCTACACTTCTCCTTCATATAGATTTTCAAAATGTGTTTGTATTAGTACATGTCCTTTGAAAAGATAGCCTTAAAATTGGAAAATATTTAAAAATGAGAAATATGCATGAAGTGTTTGTTGATGTGTATGTTTCACTCCTGTGAGTTTTCATTTGGCCAGGTCTCTCTTAGTAGATGTGTGTTGGGAACGATATAAATGTCTGACAAAGTTGTTCTTTGGTTTTAGGATGTCTTGTCTACACAGCACCAGAAATCTTGAGGGGCACTGACTTCTCCGTCGCCAGTGATCTCTGGTCTTTGGGCTGTCTGCTTTATGAAATGTTTTCAGGTGATTATTTCCCGGCTCAGTTAAACATCTAAACAATACAAACATGTTGAACCTGTAGTTCATACAGATTTTACTAATAGGATGTCAAATAGCTTGTCGTACTAAATTTTTCATATTTATTGAGTTCTGTTTGAATTGCCTGTTGTCTAATCATAATATAGGCTCCTTGTTGTTATGTGCTGTGGAGTCAGTTCCGACTCACAGCGACCCTGTACAGGGTTTCCAAGGCTGTAGAAAGCGTCATCTTTCTCCCGTGGAATAGCTGGTAGTTTTGAACTGCTGATCATGAGATTAGCAGCCCGATCCGTAACCACTGTGCTACCAGAGCTCCTTAATATAGGCTCCTAGGAGCTTGTTAATAGATATTTTTCTTGATAATCATGTGAAGCGTTGAAAGGTGTCTGACTGTTAACAGTTATGATTAAAAGCATACCTACAAGACATTGCGGGTTCAGTCTCAAACTACTGCAATACAACAAATATCACAATAAAGTGAATTGTATGAGTTTTTTGATTTCCCTATATATAAAAGTGATGACTTATACTGTACTGCAGTCTAGTAAGTGTGTAATAGCAATATGAAACAGTTTGCAGTATTGTGAGACTGACCACAATGTGACACAGATACATGGCACAGTGAGCTCATGCTGTTGGTACAATGTTGTGGATAGACTTGGTCCACACAGGCTTGCCACAGTTCTTCCATTTGTAAAAAATGCACTCTCTGCAAAGTGCTGTAAAGTGAAGCACTGTAAAATGAGGTATGCCTGTATTAATTGGAATTCTGGTAAAAATACTTGTTGATCATGAATCACACATATGTTGAATGACTCATGTAACTCTTTGGTCATAGTACGGGGGCTCAAATATGAATTTGCACGTTTGTTAGGATGATATATTTTGAAGTAGAGAAATAGAAAAATAGACAGGATGCCTGGTGCTTATAGGCATTTGGTAGTGGTGGTGGTGGTTGTGTGTAGTGTTGTTGTTGTTGTTATGTGCCGTGAAGTCGGTTCTGCCTCATAGCCACCCAGTACAGGTTTTCCGAGGCTGTAAATCTTTACGGGAGCAGAAAGCCTCATCTTTCTCCTGCGAAACAGCTGGTAGTTTCGAACTGCTGACTGTGAGATTAGCGGCTGGATTCATAACCACTAGGTTACCAGAGCTCCTTGTGTGCAGTGTAATAATTACTAATTAATATATATGTATGTGTATGTATGAAGTAGCTTTAAAAAAGTTCATGTGTATATATGAAGTTGCTTCAAATATGAAATTCAAAGATAATGGAATTTTCCCATTAACTTTTGGAAGGCCTCTTGTATATATACATACTCATGTTGTTGTTGTTTTTGCTGTTAAGTGCTGTTGAGTTGGTTCTGACCCCATGGTAACCCTGTATAGGGTTTCCAAGGAGTGGCTGGTGAGTTTGAACCACTGACCTTGTGGTTCAAACCAACTGTGCAGACCATGGTGCCACACCAGGACTCTACATGGTGGTGGTGGTGGTGGTGATGTGCCGTGAAGTCGGTTCTGACTCATAGTGACCCTGCACAGGGTTTCTGAGACTGTAAATGTTTACGGGAGCAGAAAGCTTCCTCTTTCTCCCGTGGAACAGCTGGTAGTTTTGAACTGCTGACCTTGAGATTAGCAGCCTGATTTGTAACCACTACGCTACCAGAGCTCCTTAGGACTTCACATACTCATGTGTAAATATATATTGTAAATTATATGATCCTGAAATATATATAGTTGAGATTAGTTTAGAATTATTGGTGATAGCAAACTGTTGATTGATTTTGTGAATGTCCATGTGATTTTAGGAAAACCTCCATTTTTCTCAGAACGTTTTTCAGAATTACTTGAACAGATTTTATACCAAGATCCTTTGCCACCCATTCCAAAAGGTAAGATTTCTTATAATAAATGCAGTTTCTTTATATTTTATGCTGCTTAAGGGTACACCTTCATTTAGTCTTTTCATTGATACATAAACCCCCAAAGTTATATTTTACAACTAATCTCAAATTGATGTTTTTAGAAAATTAACATTGTCTTTTACCATGAATTTTTAATTTAAAGATACTGAAGTGGGAAAGAAATCACTACTAAAATTGGTTTCTTCATTTAAAAATCCCAAATTATTTTGTGCTTTTCCACAACAAGCAGTCTGGTTTAAAATATTTTTAAAATGTAAATCTTTACTTATTTTTGTATGAATGATTGATTTGTGCTTCTGGCCACGTGGTTGTTTCTTTGTAGTGCTTGAAAAGGCATTTCTCAGCCCTTACATTGATAATTGGTGATGGTTAGTTGTGGTTGTATTTTTAAAGTATTTTAACTGTAATAATAAAAATAGTGGTAACTAAAACCTAAACTTATTAACAGATTTTAAGGAAAGCAAAGGAAAAGGAGACACAAACATAATGAAACATTTTTCTGTAGACCACAAAATGTCATTCTTAAGACCCAAGTTTATATAAAAATTAATGTTCTGAATGATGTTTTCAATATTTGAAGAATTGCTTAGGTTAAAAAAAAAACAAAACAGCCCAAACACTGTTGTTTTGAAAATTGTCTATATTTCTTGAAGCAAAAATGAGCTGTATTCCTTTTTTCTTCACTAACTTTTTCTTAGATTTTATAGGAACCAATCATTCTTATTCCCTATCATGGTGGCGTTTGAGTATGTTGTTTTAATACCTCACAATCTTGGTCATTGTTTTCTCCTGTAAGTTAATGGCTTGTTATGAAAGAAAGGGAAATCTAGAAACCAAAGTGTTATGTGAGGGCCAGGTCAAGACCCACTGGTTTCCCAAGCTTAATTATTTCCTGGGTCTCCCTCAGGATATGGTCGTAGTGCCTGTTAGCACCACGTGTCTTGAATACTTGGCTCAAGAATGCTTGGTCGTTGTCTTCATGACCACTACTTTTAATCATAGACTGGTGGATCGGTCATGGTATATAATTTAAAAAGCAAAACATTTGGAGATAAAGGCAATTCAACAGAACCACAGTGTTGTGGTTTATTATATTTCCCTGTTAAAAAATCTTCCAAATAGGGACGAAGACTGCCAGTGTTCTAATCACAGTGTATTATAAAGCGAAGTTGGCAAAGTTGAGAATGCCTCAGAGATTGTTAGATACTGTTGAGTTGGTACCTACTCATATCAGTCTTATGTACAACAAAAGGAAACACCAGCTTGTCATGTGCCAGTCTCACAATCTTTGCTGCTCTTAAGCCCATTGCTGCTGCCACGGTGCTGACCCTCCCTCCACTTTACCAAGCTTGATGTCCTTCTCCAGAGACTGGCTCCTTAGAAGCCAGGATAGCACGATTTCATCTCTCTTACTTTGGAGCCTCAGAGAAGGAGACGAAATTAATAACTGAAGACAGAGATAGAGGTTTATCAGGCTAGTGACCCACGTCAGGGTTTCAGTAATGAGAATGTTTACAGATTTAGTCAAGGCATAGTTTTTGAGATTCACAGTTTTTGTGATGTAGGAAAAAAAAATTTTTTTTTGCCTTCTCCCTCCTGGTATTTAATGGAGGCTTTAATTATTATTTGTGCAGTGTTCTCTCAAAAATGATTTATGAGCTTAAAATACGATTGCTTTAAATGTTAACATAGGGTATTAAATTGCTTGTGTTATGTATGTATGCATCTACTTACACTTTTTTTTTTGTTTTGTTTGGAAATTGTTTTTAGATGCATCTCTTCCTAAAGCTTCTTCAGATTTTATTAATTTGCTCGATGGTTTACTTCAAAAAGATCCTCAGAAAAGGTATGGATGGTATTTTAGTATGAATGAGTAGTAGAATCTCTCTTCTCTCTTTCTTGTACTTCTACAATAGTGCCCTTCTTAATACACATGTTGTTGTTGTTGTTAAGTGCCGTTGAGTTGGTTCGTACTCATAGTGACCCTGTAGAGGGTTTCCAAAGAGTAGCTGGTGAGTTTGAACCACCAGCCTTGTCATCCAGCACTTAATTCATTTTTTTCTTTTTTTAAAAGAACAAAGTTACTTTAGATTAAAGAGGAAATTTTTTTTTTCCCTCTGACTGCAGATGTTTTTAACCATGAAGAAGCTTTAAAGTTGACAGATACTTTTGTAACTCCCAAATCAAAGTTGGCCATTCAAACTCACCAGCTGCCCCTTGGAAGCCCTATACAGGGTTGCTGTGAGTCGGAACTGACTCCATGGCACTTAGTAACAACAACAAATGAAAATAGTGCATTTCATCCCATTGTGGAAATTGGACTAAACAGTTTTAGATTGTTGAACTGAGGATGTTATTTCAAGATAGTTAACAACAATGTCGTAACTGTTAATGGAGTGATATTTTAATGTGACTTGCTTATGATAATCCGATTATTATGTGCATATGAAGTGACTTTTTCACTCATGATACATATTAGTACGTAGGAGATTTACTTAGTCAACTTAAATGGCTGAAAATGTATATGGAATAATCTGAAACAATAAACATTTCTTATATGATTTGAAATGCAGCACTGCAGTAAACATCCCCTTGTGTATTTTTGTTGTTGTTCACATGGATAACTTACGCACATTATCTTTTTGGGGTAAATTTCTGAAAGAAAACCTTGTTGACCATCTTTATTTCTATTTTAGTGAATTGTATGGATCCTTTATGTAACAAGGATACTGTATGCGGTTGTAAATTCTTTATTGTTTGTTTTACTTTTGACCAAAGTAGTTTTAATACAGAAATTTTTCATAAATGTTGCCAAATATAATTTGTTTTTCATTATTTATATTTTAGTCAGGTTTATCCTTTCCCAATCTGAATGCTTAAGGACGTCCGGTAGCATAGTGATTACTAATCGGACTACGAACCGCAAGGTCAGCAGTTCGAAACTACCAGCTATTCTCCTGGAGAAAGATGAGGCTTTCTGCTCCCGTAAAGATTTACAGCCTGACTGTGAGATTAGCAGCCGGATTCATAACCACTAGGTTACCAGCACTCCTTGTGTGCAGTGTAATAATTATTAATTAATATATATGTATGTGTATATATGAAGGAGCTCTGGTAGCGTAGTGGTTACGAATCGGGCTGCGAACCTTAAGGTCAGTGGTTTGAAACTACCAGCTGCTCCACGGGAGAAAGATGAGGCTTTCTACTCCCGTAAAGATTTACACCCTTGGAAACCCTGTACAGGGTCGCTATGGGTCGGAACCGACTCGATGGCACTTAACAACAACAACAATATATGAAGTAGCTTCACGTGAGGGCCAGGTCAAGACCCACTGGTTTCCCAAGCTTAATTATTTCCTATCCAGGGTCGCTATGAGTCAGAACCGACTCCACGGCACATAACAACAACAACAACAATCTGAATGCTTATACCTAGATGCTTATACCTAATAGTCAATTCGCAGCAAAATATGTTTTAAAAGCAAATCCAGATTTTAGATACAACATATAAAGTCTTTGAATATTCAAAATGTGTTACATTACTTTGACCCTTAACCACAGGTGTGACAGTGTGTAGTACTTAATGCTGATGATCTTATTTATTTCTGAATGAAGTTATCCAAGTAAAGTTGTCCAGAACTGAAATGTGTCAAATGGACAGGGTTATAGGTTATGGGTTATATTCTCCATTTTGAATAATAGATGACAATATTGCAGATTGGGAATATGACTCAACGGCACTTAAACAACAACAAACAGTTGTTGTTGTCAGGTGCCATCGAGTCAGAACCGACTCATAGCGACCCCATGCACAGCAGAACGAAACAATGTCTGATCCTGGGCCAACCTCACTACCACTGCCACACTTGAGTGTATATATAACAACAAACAGTATCTGTTATATTTACTTTAACATTTAAAATTATTTTCAGAACTCCTTTCATAGACTGGTTTGTAGACTATAAATGTTCTTTATGTGGTGATATTTATAAGTTATAAAATATTTAAGTACACTGCACACATTGGGGCATGTCCTGGGAATTCTCCACAGTAAAATGATGTTGAAACAGTTTAACATTTATCTTTTGTAAAGATTGACTTGGGCTGGCCTACTGCAGCATTCATTTTGGAAGGATGCTTTGTCCAGACAAGATCAGGATTCGACAAACACGGAGGATTCCAACCTTAGGTAATTTAAACTTACTTTGTGTGGGGGGCATTCTTCTAACACACTTACATACCTTGTGTGTGCTGTCAAGGCAATTTTGACTCATAGCAACCCACTACCATTCTAATAAAGCAATGACCTGAATTTCTATGCTTTCTTAATAGGAGCAAACCAAACATTTGTTTAATGAAAGTTTAGTCATGACATTTTTGTGTGCTTAGTGTTGTTTTTTCTTGAATTAATGATTTAGTGTGGTCATCATTAGCCCTGTCCACCATATACACGTGGCTTTCTGCCTTCCAGGCACATGGTGGTGATGTTGATTCCAGCCAATAGCAACATTGTATTGGGTTTCTGAGAAGCGGCTGGTGAGCTTGAACCATACCAGGACTCTAGGCACATGGTCGGGTTGCTTTTTCTCCTTTGAAAGTAGGTGTGGTCATGTGACTTTCTTTCACTAACGAAATGTGAGTAGAAATCATTTGTGTTATTTCTAGATGGAAACTTACAGAGTCATCAATGTGTGATTTGCCACATTTCCTCCCTCTGGTAAGATCATTGGGATGGAAGTGTTGAAATGGAGTTGCTGTCAGTCTGGTACTTGGGTGACTAACAAAGCTTCCCTGCCAACCTTCAGTGGATATGTGGCATGAGTGAGACAAGAAGTTATGAGATTTGAAGCCATTAGGATTTGACTGTTGTGTTAGTTTCCTAGAGCTTCTGTAACAAAGTACCACAAACTGGGTGGGTTAACCAGTAGAAATATTTCTCTCACAATCCTAGGAGTTGAAAGTCTAAGATCGAGGTGTTAGCAAGGCGGCCAGGCTCTTTGAAGGCTGTAGGGAAGGATGTGTTCCGTGTTTTTCTCTGACTTTGTGGTGGTGGCTGGTAGTTCCTGGCATTCCTGAGTTGCAGATGCATCCTCCGGACTCTGCCTGTGCCATTACATGGCTTCTTCTCCTATGTGTGTGTGTCTGGTTCTCTTCTCTTCCTACAAGGACATAAGTCATACTGGATTAGGACTCACTCTACTGGCTATGAGGGACCCTGGTGGTTCTTTGGGCTAAGTATTGATCTGCTAACCGCAAGGTTGGCGGTTCAAACCCACCAGTTGCTCTGTAGGAGAAAGATGAAACTGTCCATTCCCATAAAGATTTACAGTCATGTAGGGTCACTATGAAGGAGCTCTGGTAGTGTAGTGGTTATGAATCGGACTGCGAACCTTAAGGTCAGCAGTTTAAAACTACCTGCTGTTCCGTGGGAGAAAGATGAGGCTTTCTGCTCCCATAAAGATTTACAGCCTCAGGAACCCTGTATTGGTCGCTATGGGTTGGAACCAACTCCACGGCACATAACACCAACAACAGCAGGGTCGCTATGAGTTGGAATTGACTTGATGACAAGAGTTTGGTTTTGGGGTTTTCTGAGTTATCAGAAAACTCTAAGTTGCAGTTGCATCTTTTTGTTGTTTGGAGTTGTTGTTGTTGTTGTTAAGTGCCGTCGAGTCGGTCCCGACCCATAGCGACCCTGTACAGGGTTGTTTGGAGTAGTGCCGTATAAATAAACTAATACCCAGATGGGTAGGTGAACTGGGCTATTGCTGGCTCTGCTCCAAAAGTGCTGGCGAGTCACAGAATACCTCTGACTCTTCATTTCTCATCTTTTAAATGAAGGAAAATTCCTACCCTGCCACTTTTCCCACAGAGTTACTGGGAAAAACATAATATAAATGAAAATACTTTGAAAAAAGTCAAACATTATACTGGTTAATGCTGTTCTTTATTTTCTCCTTTGGCCTTCTTTGTTCTGCAGGATGAGCTTCGAGTTCTTTGCAGGTGACTTGAAGGAATAAACTGATGTAATTTCGGTTGTTAAAAACTTTTTAGCTTATTGTTGCTCGGTGCCATCGAGTCATTTCCTATACACACACCTATACGCACACCAGAATGAAACACTGTCTTGACTTGCACCATCCTCACAATTGTCGCTAGGTTTAAGCCCATTCATGCAGCCAATATGGCAGTCCATCTTGTTGAGAATCTTCCTCTTTTGGGATGACCTTCCACTGTACCAAGCAAGATATTTTTCTGATAACAAGTTAAAGTATATGGAATAACTTTTTATCATCTTCGCTTCTATAAGGAATAAACTAATGTAATTCCAAGTTGTTAATCTTAGTTTGTACATACGCATATGCTGTTGCTGCGACTTTCAGTGACCCTTTCTATAACAGAATGAAACCCTTCCTGGTCCTATGCCGTCATCACAATTCTTATGTTTGAGCCCATTTTTGCTTTCACTGTGTCAGTCCATTTCCTTGGGGGTCATGCTCTTTTTCACTGACTCTCTACCAGTCTTGGTGTGGCACTGTAGGATAAGCATTGGACCACGAGGTCCGTTTGAAGCACAAGGTCAGCGGTTCAAACTTACCAACCACTCCTCAAAAATCCTATACAGGGTCACTATGAGTTGGAACCAACTTGGTGGCACATAACAGCAGCAACTGCTTTACCAAGCATGTCCTCTCCAGGGTTTGGTCTGTCCTGATAACATTGTAAACCTACATCAGGTGAAGTCTAGCCATTGACATTTCTAAGAAGAATTCTTACTGTACTTCATCCAATACAGATTTATTTGTTCTTTTGGCAGTCCTTGGTACTTAAAAATATTCTTCGCCAACACCACAATTCAAACACATTAATTCTTCTCCAGTCTTCCTTATTTGTTGTCCAACTTTCATGTGCATATGAAAACACTCTCTGGCTTGGGTCAGGCACTCCTTAGTAACATCTTTGGTCTTTATCACTTTAAAGAGGTCTTTTGTAGCAGATTTTCCCAATGCAATATATCTTTTTGATTTCTTGAATGTTGCTTCCATGAATGTTGATCGTGGATCTAAGTAAAATGAAATTCTTGGAAATTTTCCGTTTATCATGATGTTTACTGGCCCAGGTCATACACAGGGTCGCAGTGAGTCAGAACCAATGCGATGGCACTTAACAACTACAAACAAACAACAAATTACTCATTTTACCTACTCTTATGAATGTGTTCATTTTCTGATTACGACTTCTCCAAATATCATGTGTAATTTCACCATTCTTCCAAAGGTCTTGTTTTGTGCAGAAAACTGTAGTGAGCACCAAAGTAAGTTTGTGTTGGCTTTCTCCTATTGAACAGCAGAAATGTGATGGAGTGTCCTGAGCCACTAGATCCAAAGGAGCTTTTAAAGAACCCTCAGAATGGACAAGAAAAAGGCCAGAAGAATTTTCAGCCACTAAATCGCTCTTTTAGACTAGGTAAGCTTTCATTTGAGCTTATTCATGTTGTTTGAACACTGTTTCTGAGTTTCTCATTTCAGCCTTGTCATTCCCTTTAACTCTTTCTGCATCTTGCCCTGCTCTTTTTTTTTTTTTTTTTT